AAGCCGAAGAAATTAGAAGATTTGTTGTTGTTTCATTGGAGGAAAGATAAATAATGGGCTATTGCGCTCTGTCCACCATAGGGAATCGAACCTCGTATTTTAGCATTGTATGTCTGGGGAACCATTAGAAGAGAAAGAACTTACTTATTCAATAGTTTATTTACTTATTCACTTCTTTCTTTATTGATTATTGTTATTGTTTAGTTGGTAAAATTGATCAACTAGATATGAATAAATTATAACGAGGATAACGATTGAAATCAACCATTTTTTTTCATTTTGATCTCATTTTATTTTGCTACATCTTCCTTATTGTATTTTGCTTTGTTTCTCTAATCATGTACGAATTTCTCCGAAAGGGGACCAAAAGCCGCCTGGAGGAGTCACCTGTTTTAACCAGTTGCCTCACTTTACAGTAGTGCGTTAACTGTCAGTTAGTCAGTAGACACTAAAATGGCTTTACATAAAGGACGCTTAACGTTGTAATTTGTACTGTCGTGACTTCAGCAAAACGTGCGCATGCCAGGAATCACGAGCAGAGTTATATACTCTGTAGGCTACAACACAACATGACATATATGAACTTCAAAAGCAAAAAATAAAAAGATTTGTTACTCTTAATTTTGGTTTTATTTACTCTTCGGGGAATCTGCGAAATTACATCTAGTAGAGGAAATATTTCCACAGAAGACGAGACTGTCCTAAATATTGATACTACAATAACACCGGCGGTGTGTTAGTAGTATTTATTGTTGCGTTATTCAACACATTTTGAAATCCACTACATTTAACGATATACAATGTACAATCTCATAATTAGGCCTAATGGATTCAACTGATGTTTTCGTTTTTTTTTTATCAAAACATTCACTAATTTGTTATATTAAAATCAAACACGTTTGTAATTTACATGCTTAATAATTCTTGTGTTATCCAAACCGCGAGAGAAGCATTTATATTGAAAGATATTTTACCTAAATGTTTAGGTTTCTCTATTCCAGCAATCATCATATTATAAAGTAATCTTTGAACTTGAAGTAAGCTTGAGTTTGATTTATTTACATTCAATAATAGAAATATAAGATAAAGCAGAAAAATTAATAATAATAAAAAGTGATAATACCAATTTGTGGCTTGGTCTACATTCTTAATTGATTTTTCACACGTATTTTTTTTTATGGTGCTAGATCCTACCGCACTGAAACCTGACTGATTTGTTACTGTTACATCTCTGTTCGTTTGTTAATTTCCGGTATAAATTCTTTCCGAGGAACTTCAGCGATACAAGTCTTTTCTTAAATAAAACTAGTTTATTCTTTCTCGATACAACTTTGTAATACACAGAATTTTCATAGTCACTTTAACTTAACTACTTTTATAAACACACGCTACAATTCACAGCGATTCACACACTTTACTTACGGTGCCTATTGTTCGCTTGACTCAATTATCTATCTCTATATCTATCTATCTATGCAATTCTATCTTTTTCGCTGGCTTTATTTGCCGGGCTTATATACTAAAAAAGAGGGCGCCCGGAATAAAGTAGAGTTACCAGGGAAATTCACGATCCTTCGAGAAACTCCAGCGTGACTTCCGCTGTCGTAACACTACTTTCCCTCTGTACATTATAATGCTTCAGTCTATTCTTTGACTTCTACATTTTGGTGACTTTTTAGCAAGTGTCACTAAACGTTTATTCAATAATGATAACTCCACTAAAATGTTATCGAAAATTTAAGTTCCTACGACACCTCGGTATCAATTCTTATGCTATTGAAATGGCATTTTATAGTTAGTGGCTAATTAGGCCTACTAACAACCATTTAGATTAACACAAATTAAAGCTGAAAGAACAGTTATCCATTATTCAAATTATCGTGATAGGTGTCGTGAAAATTATTTGAATTACTATTAGTAATATATTGGCATTTTCTTTTCAAATGTGACAATTGAACATGTGCGTCGGAGCATGTCCGGCAGATCGGGCAACAGTCGGACCAACATTTCCTCACAATAACTGTAGCAATAACTTGCATTCACATATTGTTTCTAATCATAAATACGTAGACTAATGAAAGTATTTATGAATCAGTATAACAATGTGTACATGCTTATAGCTTTGGTGACTCTAAGTGCCAGGGAGCACCTATTTTTGTGAATCGTAAAGATGTGCTTGGAAATGATTAATTCAATCTCAGAGCACCTATTTTTCAAAGTTTTCCCAGGGAAGCATGACCCCAGAAAGCCCCAACACTCGCATGCTTTGCACACTATTCTGGGTTACCTGACCAATTCAAAAATGCTTCCTCCACCTTTCTTGAAATATTAAAGTTTTCATTGTGTATTAAAATGTTGACTGTTACAATAATATTACATAACATCGTTTTTCTAGAAGTGAAAGCAAAAAGAATAGAAATTGGGATAAACGAAATATTATATATATATAGTAGCTACTGGTTAAATATTAAGAAAGAAATTCTCCTTGAATAGCGTGTTGTCAAAATGAACTATTTCTTAGGCATGGCCAGTTGGTTAGGGAGCTCGACTTGCAATCTGCGGGTCGCGGATTCGAATACCCCTTCCCACAAAACATGCTCGCCCTTTCAACCGTGGGGACGTTATAATGTTACGGTCAATCCCACTATTCGTTGGTAAAAGAGTAGCCCAAGAGTTGGCGGTGGATGGTGTTGACTAGCTGCCTTCCCTCTGGTTTTGCACTGCCAAATTAGGGACGGTTAGCGCAGATAACCTTCGTGTGGCTTTGCGCAAAATTGAAAAAAAACAACAACAACCAAACTACTCTTTATCTTAAACTTTATAATTACACAAATTACGTAGGTCGAATATCGTGTACAAAAACTTAATTCCTGCTTACGATTAGCTTCGCGCCTAACAATAACTAAACTATTCTGTGTAGCAAGGATTCAACACACCAGAATTGCACTATATTAAAATATCTCTGAAACATGTAAAATGTTCTTATAATAAATAAAAATAAGAAAGAACTTAATGGAAAATAAACATATTCTGGAATATTGAATTAAAGTTTTGGGGCAGAATATATAGCATAATATTTGGGCAACGTTTCGGTCTCTGACTAAAGAGTGACTGTAACACAGAAACCGAAAAAAACGTTAATTCTTATACTCTTGGCACATGGCATAAGAAATTCAAATTTAACAACGTCCTGGTTGTATAAATGCACATTTGTAGCAACTTTTGTTAGATTTGGTGATGTTTATTTTTGTTCGATTCTTAAAGTGGATTTCAAGTAGTTGCAAATAGTGCGTTCAGGAATTCTGAAGGTTGTAAAACGTAGCAAATTTATTTAAAGAACCCAAACTTTATTTGTTTGTTTTTGAAATTCGCAGAAAGCTACTCGAGGGCTGGTCTTCCCTAATTTAGAAGTGATAGACTAGAGGGACGGGAGGTAGTCAACATCACCCACCGTCAACTGTTGAGATACAGTTTTACCAAAGTGGAATTGACCGTCACTTTATAACAATCCATGGCTTAACTGAAAGGGCGAGCATGTTTGGTGGGACGGGGATTCGACCCCGCGACTCTCATATTGCGAGTAGAGAGCTTTAACCACCGAGCGACGCCAGGTCCTTTGTTTGTTGTAAATTTATAAAATAACAACCAGACGATGCCAGGCCCCTTGTTTGTTGTACATTTATAAAATAACCACCAGGCGACGCCAGGCCCCTTGTTTGTTGTAAGCTTATAAAACTATTTAGCTCTTTAGGAATTCGTACTTTTCCTATGAAAATTTTCAGTGATTTTTATATGAAACTGTAGATTATGCCTCCATAGTAGCTCATGTTCTATCACTCATTTTGTGATGAATGGAAGTGCAACTTGATATTTCAACAGACCGAATGCATACCACTTAAATCAGACTTGTAAAGATATCTCCTGTTTCAGCATTATGTTTTATCAAAGATAAGAAAGTTTATTATTGGAGTGGTTTGTGTAAGTTGTTATCACTAGATTGAGAGATTCCTGCCATGCCACCAGAAATGTATGAGTTTCTATGAAACACATACATATTACGTTGATTCTAGCACAAATGTCAATAGATAGATAGTTCGCGTCCCATTTCGTTCTTCACTTTAGGTCTGTGGATGCGCTCTAAGAGCGATGGTCAAATCCTACTATTCAATCAGACAAGAGTTGGCGGTGGATGTTTTTGACTAGCTCCTCCATGCATTTTACTGGTCTAAAATCACGGAAGGCTTTGTGTAGCTTAGTGCAAAATTTTTTAAACAAACAAGATAGATAGATAGAACATTGACATCCCGATCATAACTTATAAATTGCTCTGTTTATGATAAGAAATAATTATTAACATTTAGTTTCTTAATTTATTTTCTTCAAGACATTGGAAAACAAAAAGTGGTGTAAAAAAAGAAAAGTAACATTAGAAACAGAAATACTTACATAAAATACAGCTAAGGAAGTCTTCAATCCTAAATCTATTTTAAGAGTAAGCAACGAACTACTTATTATCGAAAAACCGTGTGAGCCAGTCGACTAGCATCGTTTACGCTGAGCCAGCAGCCGATTCTATGTGAAGAGGTATTCAGCTCTTTCAATGAGTGATGACGTCATTTTTTTTTATTTTTTTTTACATTTGTAGGTTATTTGAATCATAGACTATAATTAGAATTTCAAGATCGAGCATAACCCAATTTAAAAAGCTCGTGTATTTAACATTAAAGACCACTCAAACTTCTAGGTTTTAACGGAACCACTGCTTTGAAAAAGAGGGATGAATCAATGCAATCAAACCGAGAAACTCCTGGAAACGGCTTCAGCAGCTCTCACTCTTGCTCAACGTTATTCTCACTGAATGACTAAGGTAAAAGAACCATCATTTTCATATTTTCGTTTACATGAATATTTATTATGAAAACAAAGATTATGAAATAATGAAATGCATTAACATGGTATTATCTCAAATTAAAACTGTAAGTACTGTTTCCAAACCTTACCTGGAACTTTTTTGGTGCGTTGAATAGTCTTACTCCAACTCCGCGAATGAATGAGCCAGATTTGTTTGAGAAAGATATCTTTCATGACCACTAGATGGCGTATTGGCAAAATAATTTTTTTATTCTTTCTGCTCATTCGGCAGATAACGCCAGGAAGGGTCTGAAGTTGAATAAATAGAATACAAGTAGTAAGGGTGTTTACCTAGCTATCATCAGCATTACATAAAGTGTGAAAAAAATGTTCTATTATCTAATACATTGTATATCTCAATAGGTAGGACTAAGCTTTTGTTAAAAGTTATCAATAAAAATACAAGGAAATGAACTGTAAACATAATATTAAAAATTGAAATCAAAGTTTCCTTCAATTCGAAAAAAAACATAACCTGTTTTCTTGCTTCTATTAAGATAATTTAATCTGTGTAATAAAAACTCTAGTTTGATCAACAGATTCCTTTGAACCGTTGATAGAAGTGCTAAGAAGAAAACTTCCAGGATTTTCAATAATACCGGACTAAATGGCAATCTTTCTGTAGTTACGTTGATAATTGGTTTTTAGTATTCTATTCTAATGAAGGCTAAATAAATACTCGTGCACATTTTAAGGAATATTCCTAATATAAAAAAAACAGTATTTTTCGGCACCGTTTAGTGTGTATAAGTGTTAACTGTTAAAATTGTAATTTGTTGTTGTTTTTGGGTGTTAAACTATAATTCCTTATATTTATTATTATTTATAATACGTAATACTAAACAGTTATTATTCTATATTTTTCATCGTTTTGTTTCATTTAAATCTGTTCTTAAAAGAGCATCAAGATAAAGTGATTTTTTAGACACACGCATGTATTATTTAAAGGACATACTTTACAAACTTCTATGAATCGAACTGAGATTACGTTATGGCGCTTGCTGGGACGGGCCAGAGCAATTCAACATCAGACACAATAGCACATTGTAAAACGCCCCCAGTGGCACAGCGGTATGTCTACGGAGTTGCAACGCTAGAATCCGGGTTTCGATACCCGTGGTGGGTTAAATATATGACTTGTTTAGCATAGTTATTTCTATGCTGACAATTAGAAGAACATTTCGATGTGTTAAATAGGTTTGATTGTTTCTTTGAAGTTAAGCGCAAAGCTACACAATGGGCTATCTGTGCCAACCACGGGTATCGAAACCCGGATTCTAGCGTTGTAAATCCGCAGAAATACCTCTGTGCCACTGAGGGGGAGGCAGAATGATAATTGTCTTCGTTTCTAACAAATGCCGTTAGTGTTTTATAATGCTTGAATATCTTATAAGATTTTATTTGTATTTACAACAGTTGATATATTGAATCCTTATTTGATTTTCTGTAATTTCAGCGAAACTTTCCATCCACAAAAGAAGAGATTTTTGCTTACCTAATTATGGTAGTATTTTTTTTTTTTTTGCAATCTACTAATTTGTGTGTGTTTATTATACACGTTTATAGAAACAGGGCAGCTGTTTTAAAATATGTATACACTGCATTAAAACAATAAATCGAGAAATATCTTGATCTCACGTATAAAGTCATTAACATACTTTAACTGAATAATTATATAATATAAAAACCTTGTATTTTGTTAAATTTGATTTGATGAAAAAATGTTCAATAGTCGTTAAAGAGAAATATAATTCAGAATAATTCTTACTTCTCGTTCCCAATATACGCTCCCCCTACTGGTGGGTTAACAGTAAGTTTGCGAAACTAAATCGCTAAAATCCGGGGTTCGAATCCCTGTAAAGAACAGAGCGCAGATAACCTATTGTGTAGCTCCCTGGAGCTCAGTGGTAAGTCAGTGGGCTAAAAACACTACAAATCGAGCTTCGATACTCGCGGTAGGCAGAGCTCAAATAGCCCAATCTGTAGCTTTCTGCTTTAGAACAAACAAACACACACACTGTGTAGCTATACGCTAAAACAAACTCATCTGTTGAGATATGTAAGAACAGTGAACCCAAAGTTCTCGTTACAAACACTATTATTACGAGTTTGAACCGTACATATACACACATGTCAACTGAGGTTTCTACTCCAACAGACACCATAAAGCTGAATGAAGAGCCGTTTTTTTTTAGTTATACCAACTTCCTACTTTGACCCATGACCTTTCAACTACATCCCGTAAGACACTCGTGCAGCCAATAACCGTCTATTAATTAATCACACGATACACTGTGGAAAGACAGTAAGAGCTGGGTGTTAAAAATGGGTAACAGAAAGCACCCCTACTGCCACTACTTTGGCTGCTACCTGGGGTGATGGTTTGGAATAAGGGGCATGTTAATGGGGGTTCACAACCCCCTCTACCCCCATTATTGCTGTTATTGAGCAGTTGTTATCTTTGACGTAAGTTAACGTTAACTACATTCATAGATGGTGCCACGTCCTTACACCGAAAAAACTAAACTTAATTAGATTTTCTCTAACACAACAAGGTGAGATAAAGTTGTACGATATTCACTGTTCAGTTTCACTCATTACGTAACTAAGTTGGTAATACTATTGCTTTAAGAAGATATACATTTTGTGTTATTTTAAGTCTCAATAAACCATTCAAATAAACCCACCCTTCAACACAATTAATGATTTATTCTTTGCAAATTTTGAACTGTTAACTCAACAGAAATGAAGTACTTATACACGAAATGTTGGTGAATAAAAAAACACATCTTATTAACATAGATCACAAATCATAAGGACCTGTTTCAAGAGTACTTATACACAACAACAATTGGTTGGTTTTTCCTTTTAATCTTAGCTTTAAACCAATGTAAGTCTTGCAGTTATTTTGCGTAGTTTTGACCGTATCATATAAGATCAGTTCTTGTACTGACAAAAAAAGCACACACGATAGTTGGAGTCTAATACACGTGTAGACGTTCTTGTTAAAGGCTATGTTTCAAAAGGTTCTTTGTCGTACTTCCCGAAACAACGTTTTTATAGAAGGAAAATACAATGTTAAATAGAATAAAGGCACTGATTAAACGTATACACCGCCCACTAGAATGTAATAGTTGAAACTAAGATATTAACGGTTGAACTGCCATTGTCTTCTTTAATGATTCTAACTTTTCTGAAGATAACATTCTGGTATCATTATCAGTACATATACAAAACGTTAAATCAACAAATCTGAAAGAAGAAAAAAAAACTACCTCAAAATCATATTTAAACAAAACCTGTGTGTATAGGGCGTTATAAAAATCTTTTATAGGGCGTTATTATAGCATGAAAAAAAATCCTTCATATGGCATTATTATAGCGGGAAAAAATCCTTCATATGGCATTATTATAGCGTAAAAAATCCTTCATAGGGCATTATTATAGCGTAAAAAATCCTTCATGGGGCATTATTATAGCGTGAAAAAATCCTTCATAGGGCATTATTATAGCGTGAAAAAAATTCTTCATAGGGCATTATTATAGCGTGAAAAAAATCCTTCATAGGGCATTATTACAGCGTGAAAAAAATCCTTCATCTGCATGAGTAACAAGAACATTTGTTTGTTTGTTGTTGTTGTTAAGCGCAAAGCCACACAATGGGCTATCTGTGCTATGCACACCATGGGTATATGATAAGGGAAAACGTGAATTGCTCTAATTTTTGATTGAATGGAACATTGTGATCAAATAGTCTGAATTTATATTTATATTTTTATGTGAAACTCCAAAAAGAACCACCTGTTCATTCAAACTCCAAAAAGAACTTTTATGAATAATTGTGTAAGATTTGATATATATTCATTTCGCAAGTTCGGGATATGAATAAGATTTAGTTTTAAACAGTACATATTATTAGTATAATAGTTATTATTCTTATATATCGACATTCTTGATATTTTCAATAGAAAGAAGACTGAGATCAAATGTCACATTATTTTACCAAAAGAAATAAAAATAGAAACAATCACAAAATATAATGTACAACTAAATCCCCCCCCCCACCTGTTCCGAGATAGTACTTAGGAAATAGTGCTGGAATCCGGTTTCAATGACACAAGCGCAATCAGAAGGTTACCATCTCTCCCTAGACATGATGGCATAACCCCAAACTACCGGCTGGTGCCCATAAGACAGTTGGATGGACTTAATCAATTGGGGGAAAATTGTCGTACTTAAAGATACAATAATAGGTCGCGATCAAGCAACCTTCTGATTAACAGTTCAAAGCACCAGCCACCAGAAGGTGTTGCTCACTTCCGAAATAAAAGATTTATATAAATATATTAGTTTGTGAGCTTTATAGTTTTTGAAGATTCGGATAATTCTATAAACCAGTAAATAAATTGCAGTAATAATATTATGAATGGTATGGTTTAGTTTGTTTGTTTTGAATTTCACGCAGAGCTTCACGAAGGCTATCTGCGCTAGCCGTCCCTAATTTAGCAGTGTAAGACTAGAAGGAAGGCAGCTAGTCATCACCACCCACTGCCAACTCTTGGGCTACTCTTTTACCAACGAATAGTGGGATGGCAGTCACATTATAACACCCCTACGGCTGAAAGGGCGAGCATGTTTGGTGTGACGGGGATTCGAACCCGTGACTCTCAGATTGGGAGTCGAGCCCCCTAACCACCTGGCCATGCCGGGCCGCACCATTTAATAGAAGCACATGTCACGTCGGTAGCTACATCTGTGGAAACATATGAGCAGATCTGGGAAACAACCACCTGGCCATGCCGGGCCAGGTATGGTTTAACACTCTTAAGTCTTCCAATAATTCTGTCCATAATAATTTATAACAACTGTAGCTAGGGGGTCCACAATTAAAAGCGCGAAGTGAAACACCAAACTTCAGCAGTTTCCAAGAACGTAACCAGGATGTTTATGGTTATATTTCTTATTAGGTCTTCAAGTAATTAATGTCGCTTTTTTCTTTTAAATGAAAAAATCCAAATAACTTATATATAAAAACAATTTTTTTATTAAATGAAATAGTCTCCATTCTTATCTTACAATCAGGTTGTTAATGCCTTGATTAAAGAAGCCTGGTTTTGAAGAAAAAAACATGTCGTCGATGT